GCGGCGGGGCGGCGGCAGCGGGAAGCGGCGTGCCGGGTGTGCGCTTCCGGCAGAGCCGGCAGGGAGCGGGCCCGGGTGGGCCGGGCTCACGGGGCTGGAGATGCCGACAGCTCCAGGGTCCGCCGACAGCCGGGTTCCTAACATCCTGCTGTTACCTCTCACCCCGCAGAGCTTCGGCACCAGAGCACAGAGCCGATCAACCCAGCTGTGCCCACTGTGGCGACCCTCCATCGCTTTCTGAGCCTGCAAATATCAAGAGGAGGGAGGACACAGGCCATCATGCTCCGGTGGAGCTTGATTCGAGACGCCGACTTTTCGCTTCGCAGGCCAACATTTAGTATTATGCCATCAGAGCTCAACTATGGACAGGGTGGATTTCTGTCCCGCGCAGTGCAGTCCTTTGACTCCTCTCCAGGTCCTAACAGTGCCCACCGCCCACTCAGTAGCCTGGCATTCATTCCTTTCACTCCTGAGGGTGCCGCTCCCTTGGGCTTTGTGAGTCTTGCCTGTGACCTGGTTTGCCTCCGATGACTCCAGGTGGGGCTTCTGGGCCCACCTCCCAGAGGTTCTGTTAGTGAGCTCCTGGATGCTGTGGGCCTCCTGGAGTTTACCAGCTCACATCCAGTTAGCACTTGGTTTCTCCACCGAGAGTCCCTCTGTGCAGAGAAAGACTTGTCAGGTGGTTGGTTCTGTACCCCGGGCCTTCGGCCTTCGGAGCCCTGAGCTCACTGCCCATCCCCTCAGAGCCACTCCAGGGCACCCCTGTGGCTCCAGATACAACACAGGCCCAAGCCCACTCCTGTCTCTACTAAAGTCAGTCTCTCTCCAGCCCAAGGCCACCTTCCTGTGGCCCAGACCTGAGTCCTGGCTGCTGGGAGAGAGAGGTGACTGGTCAAGAAGGCTGACTCAGGTCGGGTCAGCCAGGCAGTAGGGTGGGGGTGTCCCTGGCAGGCAGTGCCAGTGACCCTGGAATCACAGCAGGCTCCTCAAAGAGTGTCAGAGCCTGGAGGCCACTGACAACAATGTCTCCCACTACGCGCGGGAGGTAGACTTCCGTGACACTAGGTCAGTTCCTCAAGGAAGGCCACTGTTGACAAGGAAGTCTCTGTGGGTGGACTGTCTGAAGAGACATGCGCTGCCTCATAACAAGAAAGGGCTGGCTGGGTGAACCAGGCTGAAGAATTCAGTCTTGCAGCTGCCAAGCCAGGCCAGGGCATGAGACACTGGCTGCAAGCTTGGGGAGTCCCTGGGGCACCCAGCCTTTTGAACACATTTTCAGGGATCCCAAATTAGCCTTGCAGGTTCAGTATTCTATGGAAAAGATCCCCAGAATCTAGGAAAGCACCATACTTACAGTTTGTAGCAAAAAAGGATGTAACAGAGAAAGTCTGGGAGGATCTCCATGTGGTGCTGCTGATGGCTCCCCACTGTGCAGTGCTGTCTGACCAACTAGGACATGCTGTCCTCTTCACTGTCTACAATTTAACTGGGACTGCATTAGGTAGGACGACCTGATAAGACTGAACCAGTTGTTAGGTGACTGAATTCAGTCTCCAGCCTCTCTCCAGGCTCAGCGAGTGGTTGACATCACCTAGTGGGTCTGTGTGGGGAGACCAGCCCCATATGGAGTCATTTCCCTAGGCTAAACTCAGGTGTGGTCCAGAGGCCTCAGGAATGTTGTTGTTGTTATGTGCCATCGAGTTGCCTGCGACTCATAGCGACCCTATGTACAACAGCCCTAAACTGCTCTCTGTCCTGTGCCAATCGAACTGTCTCTGACACTCCCATCCCAATTATCCCAGTCACTGAATCAATCCACCTCATAGAGGGCCTTCCTCTCCGGCGCTGTCCCTCCACCCGCCCAAGCATGATATCCCTCTCTAAGGACCGGTCTCTCCTCACAACATGCCCAAAGTATGTTAGACGGAGCCTCAGAATCCTTGCCTCCGAGGAGCCACCCAGTTTAACCCTTTCCAGGACAAATCTGTTTGTTTTCCTAGCAGTCCATGGTATTCTCAATACTCTTCTCCAGCACCACAGCTCAAAGGCATCAATTCTCCTTCTAACCTCCTTGGTCATTGTCCAACTCTCTGATGCATAACAGGTGATTGCCTCAAGAATAGCAGATTTCAATCATTCAGAAAGCCTGAGGGTCATAAGAGTACCTTGTAGGAACCAGGCACTTATTCCTAGGAGCCCTTGAGTCTGTCCAACTCAGCAACGAGTCCCGCAGAACTCAGGAGCATGAACCCTCAAAGTGCCATCTTTTATATTTGGCACTTTAGAGATGCCCTTTGCAGCAGATTTACTGAATGCAAACAGGTTTCCTAACTGTGGCTTCTATCCATCTCTGTTGAACATGGATTCAAGTAAAATGATCCTTGAAAACTTTAACCCTTCCTCCATTTATCATGATGTTGTGGGGAGTATTTTTAGTTTGGTTTGTTTGTGTGTAATCCATACTGAACCTTTGATTTTCAGCATCTTTTCACTTTCAACAAGCAAGGTTCTGTCGCCTGCATTGCCTCAGTTAAGTGGTCTTCTTCCAATCCTGGTACTGAGTTCTTCATATGGTCTCCAGCTCCTCAGCTTATTTGCCCAATAAACTGACCAAATATGTGTGGTGAATGCATACAAGCTGGATTCACACTGTTTCTGATTTTAAGCCACACACTATCTTCTTGTTCTGTTTGAGTTATTGCTTCTTGGTTTTTGTACAGGTTCTGTATGAGCACAATCAAGTCTTCTGGAATTCTTATTCTTTGTAATGTTGTCCATACCTTGTTAATGCTCCACATAGCCAAATACCTTTGCTTAGTCAATTAAACCCAGATCAACTTCTTTCTAGTAGTCCTTACTTTCAGCCAAGATCCAAGGACAAGGACCCAATTCTTCCAAGAAAGCGGTCTCGTAACCTCAGCAGGGCACATGATCGGGGTCCCTGACATTTCATGACCCAGTGCAGTGATGTCCCTTGAAGACAATGGTGCACCTGATTCAGACCATGGTCATCTCAGTCACCTGCTATGTATCAGAGAACTGGGCAATGAATAAGGATAATAGATGAAGAATTGATGCCTTTGAGTTGTGGTGCTGGAGAAGAACACTGAATATTCCAGGGACTGCCAAAAGGTATGTCTTGGAAAAAGTGCAGCCAGAATACTCCTTGGAGGCAAAGATGGCAAAGCTTCATCTTTCATATTTTGGACATGTAGCCAGATGAGGCTATTCCTTGAAAAAGGACATCATGCTTGGGAGGATGGAGTAAGTGAAGGAGAGGAAGACCCCCCCACACCAATGAGATGGATTGACATGATGACGTCAGCAATGCGCTCCAGTGTGTCAGAGATGATGAGGATGGTACAGGATAAGGCAGGGTTCAGGTTGACTGACTTGAGGGCACCTAGCTCTAGGGAGCTTTGGTGCCCTAGTGGTAAGGAGTTGCACTGCCAACCCAAAGGCATAGAGTTTGAATCCACTGGCTGCTCCATGGGAGAAAGATGGGCAATCTCCTCCTGTGTGATTTACAGCCTTTGAACACCCACAGGAGAGTAAGCTGTGAATTGGTTCCAACTCGATGGCACACAGCAACAATAATAGATTAGGTCAATAAAATATTTTCTTGTGAATTAAGTCAAAGCTTGCAGAATGTTTTTTACTCAACAGTTCATACATATTTTTTAATTATTAATTTCAATGAACATCTACAGAGATTTTGGAATTCCATTCATTCATTGTTGCACAAGTTCATACATATTTTGAGTGAAAGTTTACAGAGCAAACTGGTTTTCCATTTAACAACTTGGACACATTGTTTCATGAAATTGATTTCAGTTCCTACAATGTAACATTCATTCCACTTCCACCCGGTGTTTCCTATTTCCATTCTTCTTTCTTTCCTAACTTTTCATCTTTCTGAATTTTGTTTGGCAAATGCTACTCTTTTAACATCAAAGGACTGCTAATGCTTAGTTGTGCATAACTCCTCGGTGGTGGTGTTCATCTGTAGAGCTGCATTTGCCTGAAGACTGAGCCACTGGGATGAGCTGGGCCAGGCCTGGAGGAAAGCTGAGGCCTTGGGCAGGATTCCCCTGTCTCTAATAGCCACTGAGGTAGCTTTTTTTGTGATCTTGAACTTTGTTCCACGTTTCCCAACTCTGTCCAGTAACTTGTACTGTGATCTCCTTGAGAGTGGTGGGTCATGGCAGCTGGAACCAGGCATCTGCTCTGCATGTTGTGAAGGCAGGCTGAGGCCTGTGAGTCCTTGAACCAATGTTTCCCACGTGTCTCTGGTTATCGTTACTCTCCTCTAGTCCAAGTGGGAAAAGACTGGCACTCACACCTTCCGAGTTCAGCTCTGACTTTGTCCTCTTCCCCCCCAACTCGAGTCCTGTTTGTACAGAGCCCTTTTACCATTTCAACCAAATAAAAATGATATTGTGCGAGAGCACTGTGGACAGGGACAGGCTGTCCCCAGGTGATTATAATTCGGACACAATCTGTAAGTAGCCAAGGAGAACTGGGGCCAGCCTTGGGAGCAGAGGGGCTCACACTGGCCCCAGGAGTGCTTATTTCTAGTAAACCTTACTGTCCTCCAGCCTGTCTGCTTCAGGGATCCCACTCTTGCCCTTTGATAATTGGTGCTCTTCCTAAAAGGCCATGGAGGGGATTCCAAGAAGGGACTGGACCTACTTCCTTTTGGTAGGACCCACCTGAGCATCCAAAGCAAGGTGACCTCCCACCGAAGATGAGCTGTTTTCCTTCAGAACCATGGCCGTCTCTTTTAGTAGAAGTACCTGGACCTTCTTCAGTCCTTCCTCATCCAGCTTAGTTTTGTCACTACTGAAGTACCCAATAACGCACTCTGAGAAATAGACACTGCTCATTTATACTAAAGTGTAAATGACTTCCCCTGCATTCCTGAAGCTGAAGGTAAGGGCAAAAGGAAGAGGTCAGACATCAGCTTGGAAGATGATTTTCTTTCCTGCCGAGGAGGAACTTGGGTCACAAGGGGGAATGTCTAGTAATGCCCCCCGCTGCTCAGGTAGCCTTGGACCCTGCTACCCCAGAACAGAGCTGGAACTTTTTGGAAGGGCACATGCTTTAGTGCAGGTAGGAGTGTGGTTCTGTGGGAATTCAGGTGCAATGGTAGACAATGCTGGGCCTGCCTCCCACCATTGGCTCCTTTTGTTTGTTTGTTTTAATGAACCCTTGTCACCATGGGGCATAATCCTCAGGTTGGGGGGCTTCCCATCCAATTGCAGCTGGTTTTCAACCTGGGCCTGTATCGCCATCATGCTGCTGGGGAGGACCGTCCTCTGGGACGTCTGGGAGTTCCTGCTCCTCCCAGCTTGAGGCCCTGGCTGTAAATGAGAGTGCTGACCTCTGTGTAGGTCTCTACCAGCTTCCACTCCTGCTGCCTCTTCCCAGAAGGGTCTACACGCTGTAGATGTCAGGGATAACCCTGCAAGGTACTAAATCATGAAATATGCACGGCATTCAGTGAGAAGTCATTTACTGGCAAGTAGTAAACGAACCTGGTGCAGCTTGTAACAGCAGTGCTGAGCCGCAGCGGAGAGGGGTGGACCAGCAGTTCCAATTCTTCATTACGAACCCGATAACCATTGTCCAAAAGCTGCTCAGCAAAGAGCCTTCCTTCCCTCATCTGCCCTCCAGGAGCTGCAGCCACAGCCAAACACGGGCTCTGGCGCCCCCCACAGGCCAACCAGGGGAGGATGCCCTTCCTTTTTATTTCCCTAAAAAGTCCCAAGTGGCACTGAGCTTATTTTTCGCTCTGTTCTTTTCCATTAATTATATAGATGCTTGTTCCCGGAGATGGTGAGAAGGCTGCCCCCTCCCTCACCTCAGGCCATTGAGTAGGGGTCTGATTCACAGATGACCTAAGAGAAACAACGCTTCTGGTTTTGGAGGGGGCCCTTCCAAGTGGCCCTTAGTCCAAGAACCCCAAAATTCTAACAGGGTTGGAGGTGCTGAGCAGATTTATTACTCTCACCTCGGACCCTGACCTCCTGACTGCGCAACTGGATTGGAGGCATTGCGCTCTCTCACCTCTCCCTCCAGGGTGGGCATTGAGGATGTTCATTTTGTAGTTAGAAAACAATCTTCATCTGAAGTTTCTGGAAGTGAGAGAAACCCAGTCCTAATCCAGGTGTCCCAGGGGAACACTGCACCATGAGAGACGCTGTGCCATGGGGGATGCTGTGCCATGGGGGACACTGTCCTGTGTGGGACACTGCACCACCAGGGGTGGGGAGTGGGGGGATGGGAGATGCCCAGCAGAGGGTGGGGAATGCCACTACCCTGAGGGGGATGCTGCCCTAGTGGCTGCCCCGTGTTACAGCCCCTCTCCACTTCCTTCAACCCTCTGGTCACTGAATCCAGAGTCAGAGCTAACCCTGAGGCTGCGGCTTCCCCTCCTCCACCCCTTACCTCAGGCCACGCATAGAGGCTGAGTGGTGGGTGAGCTCAAGAAGTTTTGCTGAGTAATCCAGGACACCAGCATTTTGAGCCCAAGATATTGCGCTTGGAACAGGAGTGAGAGCTGGGGAGCAGTGGACAGAGAGAGAGGAAGAGGAAGACGTGTGTGTGTGTGTGTGTGTGTGTGTGTGTGTGTGTGTGTTAGGTGGCCAGGGAAGCCTTCCCTTGTGCCCAGCCTAACCCCCACTTGCCCCCAGAACATTGCTCTTTTTTTCTTTAATTTAGGTTGTTTATTTTTCATTTCAATGAACATCTACAGAGATTTTGGAACTCCATTCATTCATTCTCCCCTCACAAACCCCTCCCCCCCAGAACATTGCTCTTACCAGGCACAGCCCTCCCCAATCACCCAAGCTACCTGGGCCACCCTCAGCCTGGACCGCAAAGAGATTTTGGGACTGGGAGAAGGACCATGGCACAGCTTGGGCCTTAACCGTTGCATGTCTGCCTACCTTCTGTTTCCTGCAGGAAAGCAACCGGCGCCTAAGCTCTAATATGAGAGGTGCCAGAGACTCCCTAGACTCTGAGACCATCCAGGCTGAGGAGCTGGGGCCACCACACCTGTGAGGTGCCCTGCAAAGGAGGAGAGGCTGTGATCCCAGCCTGGTGGTAATGCTGCATGTGGATTAGGGAGCAGCCGGTATACAGGCACAGGTGCAGACAGGTACCACTCACAAGTGTGGGTAGGTATATAGGAGGAGGGGCTGGTTTAAGGCAGCATGTGGGTCGTCAGGTGTCAGCAGCTCTGCCATCAGAGGTGAGTGAATCACTTCTGATGATCTCAGCCTAGCTTCCCCCACAGCCCCCCACTTCCACTCCCTTCCTCCTCCACTCCCACTCCCCCACCCCTGGGCTTCAGGTTTCAGAGCTGTTAGTGGGCGGTTCTGGTTCTAAGATGGCCCTTCTGCTCTCCAGTGGCGCCTGTGGTACTGGCCTTACACACAGCTATCACAGCAGTACTGAGGCCAGATGGGCCAAGTAGGCATCAGATCAAGCTTTCTGGGCCAAAGCCTCCATCTGGAGAGGATGCCCACCCCCTATGACTGCCAGGTTCTGGCTTCCCCGGGACCTGAAGACCCCTTAAGAGCCCTAAGTCTATTTGGTGAAGGAAGCAAGGAGGCAGGGATCAAGGAAGCAGCTCTGACACATGCCAAGACCAAGCACAATATCAGAGCTGGGCATGCAGGGTGAGGCCCTCTGCCTCTGGAAGGAAACGACTGCCCCACCTGGGCTCTTAGGGAGAAAGGGATGTCTGGTCCAGAATATAGATCATACTCTAAGAACCCTGGGTCAGGAAGGGGGTGGCAGGCCAAGGTGGGGGGCTCAGGCTCAGCCCTCTCCCCTCCCCCCAGGACTCTGGACAGGCCAGACCCATCTGTTTGAAGGTGAGACCCAGACAAGAATGCTCCCAGTTCCCTGTAACTGCAAGGTTCTGAGAACACCCAGGTAAGCTCTAATTTGCCTGGGCCAGCAGAACCAGCCCTGCATACCTGTGCACCCCCACCTGTGAGTGGCATGCTGGCCCCTCCTTCCCCTTCCCTGCACTCAGGACCCAGGGGCCTTTGGGCAGCACCAGCCAGTGACCCTTGTCATCATGTGCCTTCTCTTTGAGGACTCAGCCACTCATTCTTGGGGGTGTCTTCATGTCCTCATGTGTCTGCTTCTAGAGCCAGCTCCTGTGGACGGCCACCAGCCCTGCTAGGACTCCCCAGGACCTCCCACCATTGTCTAGATCACCTGACATGGACTGTCACCCTGGCCTCTTCCAGAAGGCAGCAACAGGCCCCACTACTCCCCTGCCTGGGGCCACTGGTGGGCAGGCTGCTGGGGCCCGCCCTCCTCCCCGAGGGGGCGGAGGCCATCTCTGTGCACAGGCCCAGGGCTGGGAGCCCCTTGGAAAGCCGGCTGGACATGCCACAGGGCCAGCTGAGGCTGGGTGCATTCCCCATGGGGCCTGAGGAGAAGGGCCGGTGTTGCCACCACAGCCTGGAGCTGAGCCTCCCTCGGAGCCGCTGGTGTTGGGACAGCGTGGATGGGCAGATTCTGGGCCAGCTGCACACCCTGTATGATGAGGAGGAGGAAGAAGAGGAGGAGGAGGAGGGGGTGGAGGGGGCCGAGGCCACCCTGGGGCCTGCCTTCCCCAGGATGGGCTCTGAGGAGCTGCGGCTGGCCTCTTTCCACGACTGGCCTGTGTCGTCCTCAATCTGTCCCATGCAGCTGGCCGAGGCCGGCTTCTTCCATACGGGTGAGTAGAGGGGCCCGATGTGACCCCACTCCACAGTAGGGCCCCTGAAAGCTCCCCAGAGTCTGAGCCCTGGTATGACAGCCCATGCTGCCTGGGGGTACAATGAGGCCTGGTGGGGCCTTCCCACCATCCTAGCACCTACAACCACCTCTGTGAAGAAAACAGGGTGCTCTGTCTCTCTGACCAGCAAGGTGACAGAGAAGGAACAAGGTAGTGAGGGATACACACTTCTGCCTGCTGGCCTTCCTCTTCCTCCTTGGTCACCTAGGACCTGCTCCTAAAAACCCCATCAGCATGGCAGACCAAGCCCTTTATTGGTAGACCTTCCTCCTTTATACTGGGACCTCTGAGCCCAACAACAAGCTGTACCTCTGCCCAGGGTCCCATCCTCCTTCCCACACAATCCCACCCCTCACCCCTGTCTCTCTTTCCCCCTCTCCCAAGGATACCGTCCTCCAGCCTAGTTCCACCTAGGCCTCTTCATCCCCCAGGTTTGAGCCCTCCTCCCTTATGACCCCCTCCCCAAGGCTCCTCTCCTCTCCCCCTCCCCTCCTCAGGTCCCTCTCCACTACCTCCTTTCTTCCCTTCCCCCAGTCCCTTTTTTAGCCCTCTCCTCCTCAGCCCCACCCCCAGGCCTCGCAGTCGCATTCACACCAGCTCTTAGATTCCAGATAGATTCCGGAACTTTCACGCTTGGCCCTGTGCCCTCTGGTCTGCTTTGTTTGTCCCCTTTCAGAAAACAGAGGAGCAAGTAAAACAATTCAGCCAGTGGGGCCAGCTGGGCAGAGGGACTGAGGCTCAGGGCTTGTCCCTACCTGGCCGGGTCAGCAGGGTGTGCGGGCAAACCTCTCTGTTCCTCCCAGGACCCCAAGACAAGGTGAGGTGCTTCTTCTGCTCTGGGGGTTTGCAGAGGTGGGAGCCTGGGGATGACCCCTGGACTGAGCATGCCAAGTGGTTCCCCAGGTAAGAGGAATCGGGGGTCTCTGAGGGCTGAACACAGGGCAGGGGCTGGGGGCTGCAGGGGGCAGCTCTGGGGCTCTGGCCCTCAAATCACTCTGGCCATTCCCTTCCTCAGCCTCCCTTTCCCCCAGCCTCCCCTCAATCTCCACTACCTTCCTACCCCCTTTACGCTCCCCCCATCACCTCCCTAAGCTTTCCTTCTCCTCCTCCAGTCCCTTCTCACCTCCCTCCACCCCCTCTCCCCACCCCACCCTCCCTTTTCCTTCTTGTGTTCCCTCTGCCCTCCCTCAGCTCCCTCTGCCTTCCACTTTTCTCCTGCTCAAGCTTCTCTTGGCCTCCTCAGCCCCTTTGGGCCTCCCTCAGCCCCTTCTCCTCATTCCACCCTCTTTCCCACCTTCAGCTTCTTTCAGCTTCCTCCATCCCCCAGAGCTACCTGGCCCTCCCCAAGCTTCCCTTCTTCCCCAGCCCTCTCTGCTCTCCTCAGCCCCCTCTTCCCCCTTCCCAGTCCCTTCTCCCTGTCCCCAACCCCCTCTCCCCTCCCACCTCCTGTCCCTCCCTTCCCCTCCTCTGCCTCCCTCTCCCCTCCCCCAGGCTCCTCTCCCCCCACCCTCTTTCCCCCCAAGCCTAACGCTCTCCCCATCCTCAGCCCCCTCTTCCTTCCCCTGGTTTCTCCCCTTCTCTAGTCCCCTGCCCCCTCCCTCATTCTTTCCTTTCTCTCTCCTCCTTCCCTCAGCTTTCACTTTACTTCCTCATGCTCCCCTCCTTGCTCCTCCCCCACAGGGAGTTGGGTGTGGTCCCTCTTGAGTGGCTAGGGTCCCTCTGGTTGAAGGCAAAAGTGTTTTCTTCATTATTGCTCCCACCTGATGTTTGAGGGGCAATTTCTTTCCCAACCAGGTATCTTTGCTCAGGGGTGCCTCTCCAGGTGTTTTGGGGTGAATGGGAGCAGGAAGGGGCTTTTCTGATAGCTGCTGAGGGGCTTCTACACTCACTCTCTCAGGTGTGAATTTCTGCTGCAGTCCAAGGGCAGGGACTTTGTCCAGAGCATCCAGGCCTCCTGCCTGCTTGAGTCCTGGGTGAGTGACTACCTCACATGCCCACCAGGGCCCTGGGAGGGTGATCAGTAAGGGCCCCTCCTGCCTTCACTGTCCCCAGGACTCGGTCACAGATGTTCTCTGGTTCCTTCCAGGACCCTCTAGAAGAACCCGGAGAGGCTGCTATCGATGGTAAGTTGAGACAAGAGTTGTGGCTGGCCTTCCCTCTACCCTGCACTGGGCTGAGCTCTCTGCTGGACCCTACTGGACAGCACAAGGCTCAGAGCTCCTTAGCCTGGGCAGGAGGGCACAATTCTGTCCTCTCTGGACACTACCATACCACTCTGAGTGCCCTCAGGGGGTGATGGATGGTGGGCAGAGCACCTGGCTGAGAGGACCACTTCAGGGTCCCTTTGGAGACCTCTGGGTGCTTGGGAAGGGGGGAGCAGGAAGGAAGGGCCAGGCAGGTGGCACAGCTATCACTACCCAGTCCCCAATATGCCCAGGGATCTGACTCTTGCTAACTGCCCACAGCTCTTACCCAGGGAAGCTGCCACCAGACCACACTCAGAAGGGAGGCCCACAAAGAGAACAGTGAGGACTCAGGTCTGTGGGGGAAGCTTGAGGTAGGAGGGAGGGGAGAGGCTACCTCTCACTAGTGAGTTAAAGGAGAGGTGGCCGTGTCCAGACCTACGGCTGTGGGTGTGCTGACCCCCAATGTCCCCTCCTCCCCAGTTCCTGAACGTGCCACAAGCACAGAGGAACAGCTGCAGCGCCTGCAGCAGGAGCGAACCTGCAAGGTGTGCCTGGACCGCACGGTGGGCGTGGTCTTTGCCCCTTGTGGTCACCTGGTCTGCACCGAGTGTGCCCCCAACCTGCGCGTGTGCCCCATCTGCCGGGCGCCCATCAGCAGCTGTATCCGCACCTTCCTATCCTAGGCCTGGTGAGCACCCTTGGTACCCACATGGCTGCCCTCCACTCCCTGCCTTTCGAGGACGGCCCCCAGGCCCTCCTGAGGGGCGCTGTCTGGTAATGTTCAGAACAGCTATGGGGGGGGGGGGCGCGCAGCATTAGCATTGCTCACAGCTCTGCAGACCCAGAGCCCTCACCTTCCTCACTCCCCAAGCTGTCATCATGCTGAGGTTGCTCTTCCTAGCTTCAGGACGGGGAGTGGGGTGGGATGTCGTGGGAGCTTTAGGAGTGGAGGTGGGAGTCTCTCTCTGGAGCCAAACTCCCTTCTCTTCTCTCCAGCATTGAGATGCCCAGCCCCCAGTGTGCCTTCTTGGTGTGTACATGCGTGAGATCAGCTGAGGACACTGAGCCACTTCCTGCACAGCCACTAAAACGAGAAGGGAGCATGATGGATGGGGGTGGGACAGGGTGTTTGTTTTACTGAATTTTTGGGTATTTTGCAGTTTCAATAAAGTGTAAGTTTCCTGATCGCTCTAGCCTGTCCTTGTATCTCTTCACCAGTAGGGGGCAGCACCAAGGACATGGCCACTGTGCCTGACTCCAACCTCCACCTTTGAGGGGCCTCCTGGTGGGACTCCTTCACTGCCTGGTGTAGGTCCTCCTGACGTTTCAAGGACTTTGAGGACCATGGGACCCCCTTCTGACAGCAGGCTCTGGCATTAAGGCCGGCAACTGAAGGGGAACCTGGGTTTCCTCCTGTTTTGGGACTGTGGGGTTCTATTTCACTCTTTCTGTGAGCCCCATCCCCTACTGTTCCGGCACTCCCTGTGCTGGGAGACACACACTACAGGATGCATATCCCTTCTGCAGGCTGCTGCCAGTCCCCCACAGTGTGCGCAGATTCCCCAGGGCACCACAGGAAGGGGCCTGGGGCCCCACTCGTGGCCCTTGCAACCCAATGGTGGAAGACAAGAGATGCAATTTTTCTTTTTAATCCTTTTTGTTTCTATTTTAAAATTTTTTAATAGAAAAAAAATTGTAAAATCTTTCAAACTTGTGGCTGTAGCCCCACCTCACTCCCCTGCTGATGTCATTTGAATGGGCTGAAACCTAAGGGTAGGACACTAGCTGGGGATGGTGGGCAGGACCAGGCCAGTGGTCATAGGAGCTGAGACACATCCTCACTTATGCTGGCCTGTGGAGAGCAAAGCGATGACCAGGGACTGCTGGCAGGTGTGGTGACCACTGCTGGGGGCTGCTATCTCTTCTCTCCAGCACAGTTGAATATCCACAGTGGCTTCTGACCATGGGCTAACAGGGCCACATGACAGGGTGGAGCTGGGCATTCTGGAAGGCTCCAGCTGGCCTTCTCTGGGAGCTAATTGGCTGTGAGACTGAGGACTGGGGAGCAGAGTGAGAGTTGTCACTCTGACTCACTGTCCTCCTGCCTCTAGGCTCCCAGCTGGAAACAGAGCCCTGTCCAGTTGGGGAACTGTACCCAGCCTGGTCCCCTCAGAGGTATAGGTACCCAGCTCTTCATACCAGTGGACTGCCCAGCTGGGGACATTGAGACCTGTCCCCTTTGAGGTCTGTTCCTTCATTTATAACAGGAAGTAAACCTCTGGGCATCCTGGACCCATAGAATAGAAGGGCTAGGTCTTCCCAGCTGGGAGCATTGAGGGTTGTCCCCCTTGCAGTCTGTTCGCTCATCTATAATGGGAAGCAGACCTCTGAGTGTCCTGGACCCACACGGCCAGATGACTGGGCATACCTGTTAACTTTACTGAGGAAACTGCCAGGCCACAGCCCTCCTGAAACTACAGCAGAAGAACAAGTGGGAGGGCCATGTGGCACAGGCTCACCAGAAGGTGGGCAGCACTATTGATACTGCCCATCAGGAAAGTGACCATCAAAGACAAGTGTCTACACCCCAGGTTTCCATCTGCAGCAAGACCCAGAGACTCACGTGGCATCCTCCTTACCCCTGGGCCACCCTAGGCCCCTCTGCTAATGTGGCCTCTACATACAATCTGCATGAGTTCCAGCTCTGTGGGAGCTCTACGTACCCCCACTCCAGCCTACAGCCTGGTGAGCACACGCGAGGGTGGGTGGGTGGATGGATGCATGGACGAATAACTGGACAGGGCTCCCCAGGAGGGGACCCCAGTGCCTCTGAGTAACCCCATGGGCAGGTCCTGCAGGAAGCAGCCTTACTGGCCATACTTACAAGTATGTCTGCTTGAACAAGAGGTGACAAGGTGTTTTCACTGACATGGTAGAAAGGAAGTGGGTCAAATCCACCAGTGAAGTCAAGACCCAAATAAAACAAAACCCAGATAATGGGAGGGATGGTAGAGGGAATATCCAGGGGGCAGCTAAGCAGTGACAAGGACCTGGGAGGAGGGACATCAGCCAAAACCTCAGATGCTGTCCTGAGGGGGCTCTCCCCAGAGACAGGACAGTGCCAAGATTTAAATTGTTGAATTAAGGTCCCAGCCTCAGCTATGTGATGTCCTAGGCCCTTGAGCGTGGCCAGTGGGACTAAGCAGGGACAGCCAAGGCTGGGACTCAGTCCAAGGCCACCCCCCACCTGCAGGTTCACAAACTTCCCACACATACCTGGCCAGCTAGGATCTGTGGAGCTACTGGGTGGGGTCTAGAGGTTACCTGGACAGCTAATGGGCAGATGGGGAGCTGGTGGAGGTCTGGGAGGTAGCAGGTTAGAGAGCTGGGGGTGCAAGTGAGCTAGAGGGTGGCTGGGGGCAGCTGGTGGTACTGGTTATTGGTCAGGGAAGCTAGTGTTTCAGGGGGTGCAGGCTGGTGGCTTAGAGATGATGGGGATTGGGGGAATTGATGGGTGGGTATGGGGAGGTAGGGGGTGGCCAGGGGGAGCTAGTTAATGGCTGGTGGGTGGCTGGACAGGGGGAGGTAGTGGGTGATCAGAGAGTTAATGAGTTGTGAGGGAGTTGATGGGTGGCCAGAGGGGGCTAGTGAGTAGCTGGCAAGTTGATAGCTGGCTGGAGGAAATGAAAGCATTTTGCCCCAGAGCTGGTCTTTCTACCCTACTCTATTTTGATACAATAAAAACAAGAGGGCCCCCTTTCTTCGTTCTGCACAGACAGCCTGGTCCCAGAGATGTCATGTCACCACTATGGAGGTGTGAGGGGAACAGCAGAGCTCCCCGATGTGGTGCCATCTGCACATGAGGATGACATTCGTCATAGTCTCCTGAGCCCAGGGGACATGGTTGTGAATGCCTGGTTCTAACAAAAAGGCGTCATGTTGGTGAAGGTGGAGCATGCAAGGAAGAGAGGAAGACCCTCAACAAAACAGGTGACCAAGGCCTTGAGCAGAGTCCATGAGGGTGGTGTGGGACCTCACAAGGTCACTGGGAGCTGTAGCTAACTGCTTGGCATCTAAACAGCAGTGACAGCCTTTGGGAGGATTCTTCCACAGTGCTGGGTCAGGCCCTCAGGTTCGGCTGTGGAAGCCCATTCTGACAGTGGGGCTCCGCCCACCTGTGGTTCGCTCAACGGGGCTCTGTCCATGGTTCTGACCATGGGCGCTCAGTCTGTGCAAGCTGGTTCTGACCGTGGGGGCTCTCAGCCAGGACTCCTGCCTTGACCATTTCCCCCTACTCTGAGCAAACTGGCATCTTTATGAGGCAACCCAGCAAAGTCAGAGGGAGGGCTCAGGGTAAGAGTGCAGATGCAGCCCGGGGCTGGGTCAGGGAACTCGGAGCCCCAGAACTTGACTTTGCACCTGCAGTCACTGGGGCAGGATGAAAGGGTCTGGCTGCTGTGTTTCCCCGCTGAAGCTGCAGCACTAATAGATTCAATGAGCACAGGGTGGCGTCCAAAGTGGGCAGGGGCAGGAGGAAGATGGGACCACCCCACCCCTCCTTCCTTTCCCTCCTTCCTCTCATGACCAAGCCTGGAGTCACCACACCCTGTACAGATGCTGTTGGACACTCACAGCTGTCCTCCTCCTCTGTGAGCGTACTGACATTGTAACAGGCATAGACAAAGCTCAGAAGCTGAGAGACAGAGCATGTTCCAGGTGAGACCTCGCCAGCATGTGAGCCCTCAGGGGTGGGGCAGAAGCCACAGGTACCCCCAGCCATAGGCCATGCATCCCTGGGCCTCAGTTTCCCAGCCTGAAGTCACTGATATGGTTCAGGCTTTTCTAATGGGGCCTGGTGGCTTCAGCAGCTTGGGGAGGGCTGGCCAATCGTGTGGAAAGGAGAGGTGCAGGGAGAGCCCCTGCGAGACCAGGCCACAGGGAGCCTGACTGGGGGAGGCAGGAGCTGGCCGTGATGCTGATATGCTCAGCTCTGCAGCAGTGCTCTCTTGGAGAGCTCTCTCCATTTCACAGATGAGAATATGGAAGCACAGTTAGGTCGAGTGGCCCATTTGAGCCAGGGTAGCCACTCTGAGTCTCTCTCTCTCGTGGTGTCCCCCTCCCTGGCCACACTCACGGCCACCAGGGCCTGCAGGGCGCTGTGCAGGGCCTCCACATAATGGTGCTCCAGGGTGAAGCCAGTGGCTGACACCAGGGCCTCCTGGCACAGACAGCCCAGCCCATGCTCATGCCTGGGTGGAAGGGGATGGAGTTGGCAGCAACTACATGAAGCCTCCACCCTCTACACCCCACCTAGGGCTCAGGAACAAGGCATCCAGGTTGGCTCTTCCTCTCCTCCTCACTCACCTCTGAGAGACCCCCCCTCCCCACTTGCAGGTAGAAGCAGATGATGAAGATATTCCAGGCAACCTAGACAGCTGCCCACACAGCATACTGGGGCAAGAGGGGAGGCAGTGGCTAACCCCCATTCCTCACTGTTGGGGTCCAAGGTGCACCGGTTACACCCTCAGGGAGGGTCACATGGACTGATGGTCCAAGGCTTCCCTGTGGGCCCAGGCCGCCAGCTCATCATAAGCAGGCTGTGTGCTCTCACGTGCTCCGAGGAGGCCCTGTCCACAAAAACCACCTCCAGAATTCATGGTCCTCATCAAGGATATGGTAACCA